CACCATAGAACTTTATTCATGCCTAAAAGATGGGAACTTCAACAGTAAAGAAAAGTTCTCAAATTATCTTCCACTTTTTTTCAAACACATAACATAAACAGTAATAAGTAAAGTTCCTTCTTCCTCTTCTAACTGCCTGTTATCAAACACTCTTCTAACTTCTTGTCAATTTTGAAAATATTTTTTCCCTTTACCATACACTCTTATCTTAGCTTTTCAAAAAGAAAAGTTTTGTTGTTTTTAGCTTTTTACACTACACTTTTCTCTTAGCTTTTCAAAAAAAAAAAAAGTTGCTTTTTTCACTTTTTACGCGACACTCTTCTCTTATCTTTTCGAAAAAACAATTACACTACATTTATTCTCTTATTTTTCCAAAAAAAAATTACACTACATTTATTCTCTTATCTTTTCCAAAAAAAATTACACTAGAAATAGATGAGACCCCGATTTTTTTGTATGTTACAATATTTTACACTAAAACGGGAGAATTACCTATTTTAATTAGAACAATGTTTTACACTAAAAATTACCAGTTTTAATTCCCTCAAAATTAAAACAGGTAATTAGAACAATGGAGATGAGACCCCGATTCTTCATCACTTATATACACTAGACATACATTGGGTAGAGCCTTCCCTCTTTTAACTAGATTGTCAACCGTGAGTATCTTATTCTACAAAGCCAACCAAATGAAGGCTTGAACATTATGAGGGATCGACCATTTCCATATTTGTGATAACTGGGGTATAGACCATTGCCCTCTATCATAAAATAGAAGCCTATAAACTGATTTCATTGTAAATTGCCCATCATTTTCTATTTCCCATAAAACTTCATCCCCCTTAGAATTGGAAATATACACTGATTCTAAGCACTACATCGAATTAATAAATTGGTTGTATAAACACTGTTATAATGGAGATTGATGTTCCATACCGGTTTATTATCTATGTTTGCTACCTCCTCTGCAACCGTTGCATGGGGATTAATAACCTTACCAAAGAGTTTAGGAAAATATATTTTAAGTGCTCTATCCTTCAACTACTTATTATGCCAAAACGAAGTATTATCACCCTTACCCACCAACCATACGACATTTCTTTGAATCGCTTGACAGCACAGAATCGCTGTTTTGACTTGGGAATTGGCCACCCCATGACGATTTTGTCAATATATAGAAAACCGTTCTGATTTGGAAGAGAACCGGCGATTTATTAGAGTAAAAATGCCATTTTGCTATGATATAAACGCCAACACATCGATCCGGACTAGTTTCTATATGATTCATTGTGTTTTGCACTTGGTTTTTTTAGGTGCCCCAACCCATACCTTTTGGTACAGAGAGGTTACAGTTAATTAGATATCAAATTTATTTAAAATAAATTATTTTGGGCACTTTTTCTTTTTGGGGGCAAGGTTTTAATTTTGAGGGAAACAGGTGTTGCCTTATTTTTTTGTATGTTACAATGTTGCCCTTCTTTAAAAAGGAATGCATGCCTTACACGAAATATGGCCAACAAAAAGCCAAAAAGGATTGGGGTTGAGGCCTGCCACTCTCCATTTGTTAATAATGATGGTTGGTGATGATTCATTTGTTTGGTGATTCCATTTGTTAATAATGATGGTTGGTGATGATTAATTTGCTTCGTGATTCCATTTGTTAATAATGATGGTTGGTGATGATTAATTTGTTTGGTGATTGATTTAAGGATGAAATGGATGGACTAGATGATTTGTTGTAATATATATTATTTTTAGAACTTAAAATTCTAATTTTTTTCACAAACTATAATATTCAAGCTCAGATGATCGATTTAAAGATTTTTCAACACTTGAATTGCAATTTTTGATGAGTTATGAGGTGAGGCATTACCTTTTCTGATAAGACTCCAATCATATCAAGCCATTTTCCTTGATTTAATTGTGGTTCAAATGTGGGTTTAGGAGATATATACCATCCGATATCATGAATCGGACATGATAAATTGATGGCAATAGCCCCTTGTCCAATAGGGATTGTAAATTATGAGATCATTTATCTTTAATATGAGTAGAATATAAATACTCCTAGCATTTAAATGTCAAATTGGATGGCTGGAGATGTATCACAAAATTTAAGATTTTTTTAAAATTTTTTAGTCCAGTCAATGATACTTTTCAAATGAAAAAGTATTGCTTCGTGCGCTTAAAAATTTTGTTCGAAACCAATCATGTCTATACTATTTTATATTTCAATATAAAAACAATATATATAAAATTTAACATTATTATATTTTTCTTATAATTTTTTTGAGAGTTTTTACCCCCATTTGTTTTAGTATAAAACTCAACACTAATTGGCCGACTAAGTCAGTGTTGGTTGGACTAATCGGCTTGAGCTATGACTGACTAGTTCTTTCTAGTACTACTCACATCCACTTGATTTCAAATCTCATAGATAAGAGTGATTATAAATTATTGATTTAAAAATTAAAAGTAAATAGGCTCTTTGTGTATTTTTTTTGTTTTTGAGAGAACAAAAACACCTTTATCTCGGGGGATGGAAAAGTCTAGAATGTAATCATTTATCTTTGATACAAGGTGGTCGCATTAATATTGACCATTGGATGTGAAATTGGGTGGATGTAATTTTTCCATTACCAAGCTCAAACTTCAAAAGAATTTTTTTCAAATTCTATAATAAATCAAAACTATCAAATTTCACATCAAATGGTTGTAAGGAATTGTGACCAACTTGTATCAAAGATAAATAGTCTCATTATATACAATATCGTATCGGATACTCTTGACATTTCAAAGAATAAAGGACTCGGTTTCTATGTGGCCAAGCCCGCATATGTAGAAATGCGGGCCGATTAATACATATATTTTTGAGATGGGTTTTTGGACTTTTATTTTTAAAGACATGTAATCTCTAACATGGAGATGACGAATATGAAAAAAAAGTAATGATCTTATAGGACCCTCCTCCATTTATGTGTGTAGGACTCCAAATGATTACCATTAAAGCTGGCAACGGATCTAAAAAAAATATCACATGAGTGTAGGATTTGATTTTTCTATAGATCCATGTTAAATTTAATAATGATCATTTAAAATTCTACACACATAGGTGAGAGAGGCTCTTGTAGGATCATTTTTTTTGTAAAAAAATATGTAAATTTTAAAAACTAGAAACAATAATTCTAGTAAGAAATTATTTTAACGCGTTAGTTTCCATGATAGGTTGATACTTTATGCTTTGGACCGCATGTGCAGTCATGCAGTCCAGCCCGCATGAAACAAATTTTCAAAAGCAAATGTACATGATGAGACGGATTTTTCAGAAGAAAGTCAAGGCCTTTCTTTCATTTCACAGAAATTAACCGATCGTAATCTCACTTGTCCGTGTCGTGGGATTTGTCTTGCCACTACACTTGAACACGGAGAAACCTTGATGGAACTTGAATCAGTTCAGTGAGAGAGACTCCGAAACTTGGAACAGTTTAGAGCGAGAGAGAGAGAGAGAGAGGGGGAGGGACGGGAAATGGAAGAGATACAGGAACCTCCAACCAGAATAATGGTCGCCGTTAATCAGTCCTCCATTAAAGGGTATCCTAGCCCATCGATCAGCAGCCGAAATGCATTAGAATGGACCCTAAAGAAGATCGTGAGGCCTACTTGCAGGTCTGAGTTCAAGCTCCTCTTCTTGCACGTTCAAGTCCCTGATGAAGATGGTATGTTACACTTAAAACCCTAGTCTCATTTTTCTGCAATTTCCTTTCTCTCTAATGACTGTTTTTGTCAGTTTATTTTTTAATTTCTGGTTTGTATTTCATTTCTCTCTGGAGGATTTATTTTGCCAGTGTGATTTGGGTTTTTACTTTGACCCTTGGGTTTCTCCCTCTAGAGTGATTTGGTATTTGAGTAAAGTGTAACTCACTTGAAATTTTGGAAGTTATTCAAAGAAATTTATAGACGATCAAGAAAATGTTCATATAAGATACAAGTTTGGGAATAATTCGATGGCAACGCATGCATTTAGGTTTTTAAAAGTTTGATTTTCCATAACAACATTTGTGATCAAATCTCAGGAAGTAGAAACGAAGTTTGGATAAATGTAGGATAGAATTGGTCAATTGTCAAAACGAAAGAAAGGTTGCCTTGTAATTTATTTGGAGCATTTTAAGTATCTTCTGTTCCTACAGAGAGAATGTCCAGACCTTATTAACTTATTTGAGATTCAAGAGTTCATCTTATCTTATATGCATCAATTTAGAGTCCCAGATAACCTCTCCAAAATAATTTGTGACTTTTGCATTTAATTTAAAATTTAAGCTACTTTTATTTGATCATTAGATCCAAACTCAGTCTATTGATTAAATGGTAGGTGCTATTAGACTCCTGGGAATAAGTATTATTCAAGGAAAATAAGGAGCTATTGTGCTTTTGTTTTCTATAATAATAGAATGATCCTATTAGAAAATCAGATTGTTTTTGGTACTTTGTTAAAATTCGGATGCTTTTGTTATTGGAATTTGCAATGCAATTTTGGGGCTTTTTTGTGCTCACAAAATTGTCTACCAAGGTTCTTATCTTATGTGATACTTGTTAAAAATATAAAGTAGACTCAAGTCATTTGAGATTAATCTCTTTATACTTGCCTGTGCTTTTCTTCTTAAATATGTCTTGAAATTTTGACAGGGAATGCGAGGTTGTTTATGTACTGACAACCTTTTTTGGTTTGTCTTTGAGCAACCAGGGTTTGATGATATGGATAGCATTTATGCCTCGCCTGAAGATTTTCGGGACATGAAACATAGAGATAAAATACGGGGAATTCACTTGCTAGAGTATTTTGTTTCACAATGTCATGACCTTGGGGTAGTGAAAACAAATGGATCTCTTATTTCCTATATTTCTTTTTCTTGATTCTCTCTTTTGAGTTGTTTACTTTGCATAATATACGGCTCATGCAAAAATATGTGTCTTTTTTGTTTTTGACTTTTTGGAATGTGATGAACTCCAAAATAAATGAAGTTTCTATCCATGTGCTTGTAGATAGCTTGTGAAGGATGGATTAAGAAAGGTGATCCAAAGGAAGTTATCTGCCATGAGGTGAAGAATGTTCGACCTGACATTTTGGTCGTTGGATGTCGTGGACTTGGCCCTTTCCAGAGGTATGATTTCAACACGAAGTCTCTGGACTCTTGGCAATTTCTCATATCGTTTGCTTTGTGACGGCCGGCAATGCATGTCATGATTTGTCTTGGAAATGATAGTGGGCATAACCTTTGAATCTACTTGTCGAATAGTGATTCATCTTTAGTATGGTGTTGACCTCCAAATTGGTAAAACTGAAGATGAAAGGCATGTGAAATGTTTACCTGATTTTTCAGCGATTCAAATCCACAAATCTAGGATTCAATTCTACGCTCACTTTATGGACTATAAAGGTTAGGTCTGTAAAGTGAGTGCCAGGATTAATGAGAAATTGTATCAACAATAAGATTGTTATGTGGCTCTATGGGCTGTCACTTTATACTTGGAAGCGACCTATAAAAAAACAATGTAATTGTTAGTTTGACATTTTTCAATAAAATGTGTTGAGTAATTATGATGCATTCCTTCAATTTAGTAGAAGTAGTACACTTCCACATGCACAAAAAAAAAAGAAAGAAAGAAGAAATAAACAAGTTATGCGGAAGTAGTGCATAGCACACAAAGCATCATATACGTCATACAAGGAGGGGGACCTACAGGTTGAGTGTAAAAGGAGTAGGATGATGGCCCCAGTGGTTGAGTCCTTAATTAACCCCCCCATTCCCCTCCCCATCTTCCTTTGTCCTTTTGTATTAGATCAAAAAAGAAAAGAAAAGAAAAGAGAGACCTCCTTTAAATAAGTACTCTTAAATGTCATGTGCTTTTCCCTAATGAAATGGAGAAAGAACTATAAAATTTTATCTCCCTATTTTTAAAATCTCTTCCTCTGCATTAGATATCTTTCTAGAAAGTGGACCCTTGCAATAAATGCCCCTATTTTAATGAGTTTTTCCTCTCAGAGTCTGAGCAAGATCACTAAAATTATTGTGGAAACTCACTCAATTCTATTCTGCAGTGTAGGAAAATTCAGGTGAGTTACGAGTCTACTTGGACTAGAGCGAGTCAATTGGGCTGGGCGGGCCTGGAACCAACATATATGAAACGGCCTCCTTTGGCCTATTCCAAATAGTTTAATAACCGCTGAGTCTATCATAGACTTAGCTGAGTCTTTTAGACCTGACTCAGGCATGGGACCTTAGTGACTCCTGGCTTGATTCTTTGTGTTATCCAACACTACTATTCAGAATGACTTTCACTTTTGCCTGGTGGAATTCTTCAGTGGGCTTGTAAACACATTCAACATTGCATCTTCTCAAGCCTTAGGAGGTAGATGGACGGGATGAGATTCCCTAAGGAGCCTCCAACAAAGATTAGCTTGACAGTTGCCATCGGCTGCTAATTCCGCTAGGACTCATACTTACCATACACTAATACAGTTGATGTTGGCATCATCCACTCTTTTGTTATATCCCTGTCTTTCCACACAAGTGCGTATGAGAAGGGAGAGACTCATCCTGTTGTTTAGCATTGCCTTCCAAGTACCAAAAACTTTCCCTCCAAACCCCAAAAATATAACTGATAAACACATTTTTGACAAGATACTTCCTCTAACAGGAGAGGATATGACCAGCCCGCCACTGGGGAAGCTGCCATCTCTAATACGACTTTTGCAATGCAAATTAGTTTTTATGGAACTCCAAATCGATCTTGAAAAACTATCATCAAGATTGCAGCATGAGGGGTATACTGTATTTTCACACATATGTGCTTACATGTATGTGTGTTTACGTGGCCAAGTTCATAGAAGTTTACGTATCTGCCCATTTTTACTAGCTATGTTGCATGACACAGGTATCTTTGTCAGCATTTGACAGGATGTGGGGCATCAGATTCCTCATATATTGAAGAAGAGGATTCAATGCCACGGCTATATTGTGAAGAGAACCAAATCCAACAATGTTTTACTTGTATTTCATTTCATGATGAGGAGCAATCAATAAGAAATGGTACCTCAATTGGCTGAATTTGTGATAACTTAGAAAGTTTTATAGACATTTTGAAGTACACGTGTCTACTCAAAATAAAAATGAAAATCAAGTCTCTAGAATGAATCCAAAAGAACCTGCATTGGTATGTCTGTTGATACTTGTTTGACTCGGGTACGGCAGCCTACCCAACCAGAAGTATCCATGTAACATGGGTTACTGGAGCCTCCATCTAAGGTGGCTCTCCCGCTCCATCTTGGGATCATTTTCCCCATTTTCTTGGTAACTCTTTCCAATAATGTTGTTAAGAAAGATCCCCTTCTCTCCTTTGGCAGGCTCCATTATGGGACCTATAAAGTGCATCACAAGGTAAATTTTGGGTTTTAAAGGAAACGGGAGATTTTCAATTTTGGATCAAATTTTGAAGAGCATCAAAATCCTTTATACAAATTATTTGAGTTTATCATATTTTTTAAATATTTATATATTTATAATATATTTTATGGATGCTCTCCACTCCCTAAGTGGGTAGCTTCTAGCAAAGCGATTATACCCTACTCTTGAACCTGCTTCTGTTCCCTATCTAGCTACCTCTCCCAAAAAATATGGATTTGCCTTGTAAGGGAGAGTTACAATAGTACAAAGGTACGATATGTGTGCATAACAAATAATTTTGTCTTGTAAACGTTTCCTCAAGATGACAATAACGATGATTTAGTGAAGAGACAAGATCTTCAGTATCGAATTGATCTCTTAAGTTTTGGATAAACCTTCGGAGTTTAAGAAGAATAGATTGCCAACAATCGGGCCATAGCTTAAGCCTGGAGCTTCATCATGACCGATATTGAAGCATTAGGGAAGAAGTGAGGAGATGAACCATTGAATCTATGCATGGATACCTACTTATGCCATATTTTATTTTGGAGATCTTTCATGTGTGATGTAGATGTTTAGAACCTCAAGCTACATGTGGACATTCTTGTTGATTATGCTGTCAAGAAAGTTTTCATGAACACTAACTTGGCAATAAGCCAATTTGTAAAGTAGTACACTAGAATTTTCAAGCTACATGTGGGCATTCTTGTTGACTATGATGTCAAGAAAGTTTTCATGAACACTAACTTGGCAATAAGCCAATAAAGTAGTACACTAGTATTTTCTGTATTATTAATCAAAAAGGAAAAGAAAAGAGTAGTGTCCGACTTAAGTTTTTTTTTTTTGGCTTTCGAATTAATCTCTGGTGTGTAACTATCGGACTAAAGGTCTCATGAAAACCAATGTTGTGATGCTTTTTATAGCTTTTTGACAACCAATGGTGTTGTCCTTTTGAGAAGGCATAATAAATAAATGAAGCCACAAGATGATGAGCGTGACTTGCACTTTGATTTGGAGTGGCTTGCGCCTTGGACTGAGATACTATAGAATGCCAGTAGCAGTAGATATGTTTAGATAAACTGTCAAAGAAACAATAGGAGTTGAAAATTTAGTGTGAAATAGAGTGTGCATTGATATATCATAACTTATTAGGTTGATTGCAAGGAGTGTGGACCAAACAGATGAGCTACACCCTGAATATTCCTCCAAGAAGACAACCATTGTACTCTTTGAGGTTCTTTAGGATTTGAGAACAATGTCCCGTGCTAGTAGGTTTGACAGAAAATCCCAGAAAAGTATCACAATCTATTTTGATAGATGACTGGAAATCTGTAAATTGGTAGCAGTGCACCAGGTGTCTATGGGAATAAGGAAATCCCTTGGAGTCTCTGGTAGAAATGTATATGGTGAATTTGGAGAAGCGTGACTAAACAAAATTGAAAGTTAGCAGTAGGCATTGGATTTGGTCAATCAACTAAAGTTAGAAGATAGTGACGAAATATTTTATAAAGAGTTGGATTTTTGAAGAAGCTTGACATTTTGGCTACTTAACCCAATCTAAAGGGGCCCGGCTGTCAAATGGCTTGACTGATTTGAAGTTGAGGTGAGACTTGGCTGGTACCAGGTTATTTGAAAACTGAAAATCTCATCCAGAAAAATTTAGGAAAGAAGACATTGAATCTGACGATTGGGGAAAGGAGCCGTATAAAGTAAGAAAAATTCTCAACAAAGATCTAATAGAATTTCAGGTCCCACACATTGTGTATAAGTTTGAGAATCATCCAATCTGATTAGAGTTAATTTGGATATTGAAAAGGGGACAAAAAGATGAATGAAAACAAGTCCAAACATTAGAGGAGGGAAAAACTTCTTCAACTCCATATTCAGGTCCAAAATGGTATGTGGTTGATGGTAGCAATCCATATAGATGATGTAAGAATCTTTTCTTTATTTTTTTGCACTCTCTTAAATAGTGGGAATCTTTAGAACAATATGAAAAAAATATTTTCCCAAAATCTATAGGTATTGCTGCCGCAAGTTTGGAATTTTTGAGTTACTCTTTCCAAAAAAAAAAGGTTTAGAATTTTGAGGTGTTCATATTGACTTCTTGTTAAACCTGAAACCCTGAATTCCACATGAATTGGTTTGCTATTTAATAAAGAAACATGTGTCTGACACCTTTTGGAGTGTCAGACACATACAATATTAGAAACATGTGTCTAGACATGTGACATGGCATGGGAGTAATACGTCTTGGGGTCATTTTAGAATTTTGGTGTGTCCCAACACTATGACAAAGTCTATGTTAGATACGTGTGTTTTAATTGTAAGACACAAGTGTCTAAACAGTAAGACATGGGTGTCTTAGTTTTAGGACGCATGTATCTCAGTGGTAAGGTGATGCAGAGAGAATTTTGTAGGGAAGAAAATACTATAATCTATTGATTGGAAAATTAGAAGAGGAAGCCTACAAGCTGGGCCTCAATGGCTTTGCACTGGTTTCAGAAATAACATATCAAATTTAACTCTCTAGAAAAGGCCTAGTAAATTTCCTATTTATGATTAAAAAACTTTACTTAGAACCCCAAGAAATTTTAATTATAATCAAAATAAAATCCTTAATTAAAATAAAATTCATAATGATATTTTTACCCCTGATAAAACAAATAATTACATAAGCACGTGAAATACTTGTCTAAACAACTCCTAAAACCCTTAAAACATAAAAAATTGAAAGAGAATAACCCTAGAAAATTTCAAAAATAAATCCCTAAAATTTAATAAGAAAACTTAAAAAATGAGAGCCATCCTATTATGCATTAATCTCCCTTGGTTGGGGAAAACTACTCGAGTTTTGAAATAGGCTAAGATGAATTCTTTGCTAAGCTGCACGATCTTCTCCAACTTGAATGTTGTAAACTGGGTCCTTGTGCATTAAAGCACACTGATTGGGCATTGAAACGGGGTCGTTGTAATCAGTTGATCTTTTTGTAAACACTTTTGAGAAAGCCTCAAGGAAAGGGTCTTTACATGTCGATTGAATAATTGTGATATATATTCTTGATTCAGTTACATAAACTAGCTGAAATTGCATCAGTTCAGCCATATATCTTTGCTAAAATTGTCTTAGTTCAGCCCTAGAACATACCACGTGTGCTTCTTTGAGATGAGCACTGAATTTGACCATTGAACCAACAAACTCACCTATTGATTCTCCTTGGAGTCCATCTTTTTCTTCGTAAAAAATTTGTTTAATTACGAAATTTTGTTCATCGTCGTAGATCAAATCTTCTACAAGATCTTGTTCTTCATTTGAGTATGCATGGAAGATTGATGGCGAATCCTAATTTATAACATGCTGATTTTGGGAAATTGTAGAAAATAAATATTCTCTATTGTCGGCCTCTTCAATATCGCTAACCAAATTGTACTAGCAAGCAACAAAATTACCTATCCTCTAGTTGTGAGTCAAATTATGCTTATAAAAAATCAGGAATACTCACCTTCATATCGAAAACTCTAGAGTGATATGCTCCCTATATCTAGGTTTTCTATTACTTTCCTCCTACTCAATTCCGCACCTGGAGTACGACAGTATAAGGGTTGTATTTGACATCTTTTTGGGCAAAAAGATCATCTTGCCTATGAGTGATACTCGTGAGTTGTTGCGCAAGCTGCTTAACTTGCCTTTTGAGAGCTTCAATCTCTTAATATCTGGCATCACAAGATAGGTCTGCGGGAGCTCCCCTTCCATATTCCCTTCTTGCCGCTGTAGGTTGACCGAAATCACACACCTTAGGCAGAAAATCAGCAAACCCTAGGCTGAAATGAACAAGTTAGAGGCTGAAATTAGTAAACTCCTGACTGAAATGAACAAATTCTTGGCATTCCTCTAGTGTCAACCCCTCTCCAATGCCTTCCAGAATCAGCAAACCCTGGTCTAAATTCAGCAAATCCTAGACTCTGCCGAAGATTTCCTCCCATGTTGCTCAATAATCCTGGGCTCTGATATCAATTGATCTAGATAGAATTTCAAAAAGAAGAATATCCAATAATCTATTGACTGATCATAGGGGATGCCTACAAGCCAGGCTTCAACGGCTCAGCATTATTGAAACCAGAATTAAGGTATTAAACTCTAACTCCCTATGAAAAGCCCTAATACTATTTATAAGAAAAGACTTCACTTGGAACCCAAGAAATCATAATTCTAATTGAAATAAAAGCCTAATTAAAATAGATTTCGTAATGACTTATATACCCTTAATAAAATAAGTAATTCCGCAAACACTCTGAGTACTTATCTAAACAAATCCTAAAATCCTAAAATATAAAAAAGCTTGAAGTCCATTAAAAAAGCTTAAAAACCGCAAAAAAGAATAATCCTAGAAAATTCCAAAAATGCATATATAAAATTTAATTAGAAAAATTTAAAAATAAGAAGTATTGTGAGGGACAAGAACCAACAGTGGGATCTAGTGCCTCCTCAAGCTGAGTTTGCCTATAATAGTGGCCGCAGTAGGTCTACTAGTAAGAGTCCTTTCGAGGTAGTATATCAGAAGAGCCTCAGCCATCCGCTTGACTTGGTTCCTATCCAAGCTAATGGGGAGGTCCATGCTACTGTTGAGGAGTTGGTTGAGCAAATGAAAGGTGTTCATGAGTAGGTGTGTGCTAACTTGGAGGCCAATAGAGCCAATTATTAAGAAGTAACAGACAAACATTGCCGTTTCAAGGAGTTTAATGTGGAAGATTGGGTGATTGCGTACCTTAAAAAGGAAAGTCGTCCAGCAAGCCAATACAAGAAGTTGAATGATAGCAAGGCTGGACATTTCAAGATTTTGAAGAAGATGGGCATCAATTCTTATAAAGTTGCTTTACCTTCACTTTGGATGTCTTCAACATTGCTAATTTGTCCGAATATCTTGGACCAAAGATAGAGGACTATGAAGATTCTAACTTGTGGGTGGTTCTCCTCAACCCGGAAGAATGATGGTGCGTGAAGTGCTCAAGTGAAAAGAGTGATTATTATCTTCTACGGGAGCAGCAGATTCCTTATAAGTCTCGTGTCTATTTGGTCATAAAGGGGAGACTGATACCTACCTATCAACAACTTTCCAATTTAAAATTGTTAAGCTGTAACTAAGACCTGCCTCAAAACTCTTGCAAAAAAATATATTGACTGCCTCAAAACTTATGTCAGAAATATGGATATATTACAACTGAAACATTTGAGACATGTCTGCCTTGTAGAAGAGACATGAGTCTGCAAATAAGAAATAGGGGTTTTGGTTTCTAGAAGATAAGAAATTTCAATTATGGAGGATGAATAGAGTTGGTATGAAATTTACTATATGCAGATAAATATATATGGTGGTGGGGTCCACAATATAATGAATGATTGCAAAGGCTAATTTATTGGGTATTCAAAGGGAATAATGCTCCCTGCTAATCCCTGATGAGGAGGGCTTTCATCCATTGTCCAATTGGGCCTTTGCTGGAGAAAAAGGGATAAAAAAGGATTTTATACAATAAAAAGTTTGTGCTTAACATTAAGTGATACTTTGGAGAACTGTTGCTTTCTCCTTTCTTGAGGCTGGCCAGATTTCTTCTTTCCTTTATACTTAGATATTTGTGTTCGTTCCCTTTGTAAGGATTGTCTTTAGTTATTCTTATGAAAGAGTTGGCAAAGAGCGACAACTTGGGGATCGTATCAGAAAAGAAAAATTGGGGCGTGCAGTAAAGGGTGAAGAACTTGGCCTTTTTTCTATTAAATAATTATGCACATGTGATGGCTGAATGATGAGCCTGACCTTTAATTGGATTTCTATGGAATAAAGTTTATTTTAAAGGGAGGGCTTTCTATGTGACCCCACCCACATATATGGTATATGTGACCCCTGGTCATCAGATCTGAGTAGATGGCTGAGATGGCATGAGTCACAATGTCACAACTGTATGATCTTGATCAGATGGCTCATGGTGTTTTATTTTTTATTTTTATTCTACAAATAATTTTGAAACAAAATTTGGGGCATGCATAGATTTAACAAGGGCGCACATGATAAAAATATTAAAAAATATTTCCGATAAAAAATTACCAGAATACCCCTGAAAATTGTAGGGGCATTTTGGTCATTTATTTTTACATAAAATATTTTTTTTTTTCCAGGTTTGTGCTAATTTTTTGATGGAACGCCCAAAATTTCATGAAAAAAATGTTTTGTAGAAAAAAAATGAAAAACAAAACAGTGTTTGACATGAAATTGTGGTATGAACAATGGTAAACGGCTAAGAAGTGGGGTCGCAGATAACTTATATGTTGTTGGGGTCACATAGAAGCATTTCCCTATTTTAAATAGAGAATTTTGTGTTTAGTAGGCACATCAATTTCTTGTTGCTATTTAGACGATGCTGATGAAGAGTTTGTTTCCTTCCCATTTCATTAATGGTATACTTGGGCAAAGGACCTAGTCAATCACGGCTTGAATTTCACTAAATTTGTGTCAACATTGGACCGCATTTATTTTCGAAAAGTATACAAGGAGATCATTACTTTTAGTACAAGAAGGTCACAATCACTTTCGTCTATCAAATTTCAAATCGGATGGTTGTAAGAGTGTCACTCAAAGTTAAAAAAGAAATTTCTCGAACTTCGTGACACTTAAGCCATCCAATTTGACATTTAATAGTTAGGAGTAATTGTGACCATTTTTTAACGAAAATGAATGGTCTTATAGCTTGAATCGCGTTTATTTTTATTACCAAGATGTATTTTGTTGCCCATTCACAAATATAGATAATGTGTACATTATACCACACGCAAGGGGCCCCTGCCATCCATCCCTCATAACAGACGATGGAGATGAGCCATAGTCCCGATTTAAACTGTCATTGCCCATCAGCGCAACAATGGCTCCATCTCCAATGTCCAATGTTGAGGATGAGGATTGGCTCTTTTGTATGCTATTTATAACATATACTGGCACAACAAATATTTGAACGTCATATTGAGGTTCAAAATCCTCAGATTTTGTGATGATTTTGGATACAGGGCCCGCAACTGGTAATTTCTGATTGTTGGCAGAAACTGTTGCCAAATGCGCTCTTCTAATTAAACAAAGTCCTGGATTAAAAAAAAGAAAAGATAGATGAAAAATGTTCAATTGCTGTGTTTAAGGAAGCACATCAATTTTGGAAATAGACTGAACTTTGGCCTGTTTTGGTAGTAAACATGTATTCATCTCTAACATGTCTTTGTCAATCATTTATTTGTTATCGGGAACTTCAGCTGAATCATGCTGCAATTATGAACCATGTATTGGCTTGTTTAAAGGCGACCATGGTTAGGTAGAGTTCTTGAAAAGAATATGCCAAACTATCTAACAGAATTTTCATTAAATCCCATGGAATTGTGGATGAAAATGGTGCTGTTTCCTCTTTGGTTAAGCTGTTTTTATGGACTAATGGATAAAAGCACAGGAAGCTACCAAATTTCAAACCATGGCATTGGCTTTAGTAAAAATAGCAACAAACTTACAATACTGTTAGACTTTTTAACTATTCTTTTCTTTTTATGGGCAGGGTATTTGTGGGAACAGTGAGTGAATTCTGCTCGAAGCATGCTGAATGCCCTGTGCTCGTTGTCAAACGCAAGCCAGATGAGACTCCTCAAGATCCTGTCGATGATTGAATGCCTCTGTAAACTTTGAAACCTCTAGTGGACACATTGTGCCTTGTTATCTGTAAAGAATATTGAGATCACATCAGACAACCTAAAAACTAAGTAAATAAAATTGTTTTGTTCATTTCCTCTTCTTATTTATGTGCACGTGTAACTGCAATGAAATATTTTTGCCTATATCCTCTTCTCATTTATGCATTCGTGTGCTCTTGTTGTGGAGAGAGAGAGAGAGAGAGAGAGAGAGAGAGAGAGAGAGAGAGA